CCCGAGATGTTGACTCGGGAGACCGACTTCCGGCAATCCGAGGTGCTGACTCGGCCGCCATTACCGATTATTCCCCCCTCAAGGTGTTGACTCGGGAGACCGACTTCCGGCAATCCGAGGTGTTGACTCGGCCGCCATACCGATTCCCGTCGAGAGATTCTCGACTTCCGGCGCTCCGGCGCACAAACGGCCGTTGTAACCGCCACATCGAAAAACAGTCGTTCTCACGACTACTTTGTATATAAGGCCCGTGTAAATAGATTTCCCGAATTAGGCTTAAGTAATTACCGCGCCCGCCGTACCGAAATCAACCGATCGCGTCTGTTAAAATAGCGCGTAAATTTTCGACAGGAATTCCGCCGTAAATTGGACCGTATTAATCTCGTAGACCGACACCGCGGAATTAAAACTCTTTGTACATATATTTAGATGAATAAATCACACCTGCATTACAGTATAAAAATCCGATTAAGTGTCGCAATTTCTCGCCTTCCCCTTCCCCGAACCTTAGCACCGACCGAGCTGTCCGGCAGGCGGAAGGCCGGGCGAAGCCGAAGAAATCGGCTCCGTTACATTATTATCGTAAATTTGTGAAGGGTTTTTCTTTGATTGCAAAGCCGCTGTTCGCTTAGACTGAAAACCAGGTTAAGTTTGTTTGGACAGAGCAGTGTCAGGAGGCGTTTGCAAATCTTAAGCAGACGTTGTCTTTTCCTCCTGTGCTTTCTTTTCTTCTTGAGAGTTAATCTTGGACACGAATGCTTCTGGTCATGGTGTTGGCGCGGTTTTATCGCAGGTTCAGCGGGGGACGGAGAGGGTCATCGCTTATTACAGTCGGGTATTGAGTAAGGCTGAGAGGAATTATTGTGTTACTCGGCGTGAGTTATTGGCAATGGTGGATTCAATGAAATCTTTCCATCATTATCTGTATGGGCGAAAGTTTCGAGTTCGCACTGATCATGCTTCACTTAAATGGCTTATGTCTTTTAGAAATTTGGAGGGTCAATTAGCTCGTTGGGCGGAAAGGCTTCAGCAGTATGACTTCGAAATATCTCATCGGAGCGATCGAGCGCATGGGAACGCGGATGGGCTTTCTAGGCAACCTTGTGCGGAATCTTGCTGCAGGTATTGTTCGAAGGTAGAAGTAAGAGATGCTTTGAAGCAAGAGGAGCAGGTAGCTCGAATAGTTTTTGAGGAGGGCGCATCCAAGGAGTGGCGAAAGGATCAGCTGGAAGATCAGGCTGTATCAATTATTTTACTTGGAAAGGAAAAGGGTTGTCGTCCTTTTTGGGAAGAAGTTTCTGCTAGGGGCCATTATTCGAGGATTTATTGGTCTCATTGGGAGGCTTTAGTTGTTTCAGATGAAGTTCTGCATAAAAGGTGATTAGCTCCGAATTTGAAGTCAAGTTTTCTTCAAGTAATTGTTCCTCAGAAGAGGGTTAAGCGAATTTTGGAGGAGGCTCATAATGCTCCTTCTGGAGGTCATTTCGGAGTTAATAAGACGTTAGGAAAAATTCGCAAGCGGTTTTATTGGGCTTTATGTAAAAGAGATGTGGAAAATTGGTGTAAATCTTGCAAAGTTTGTATTCAAAAAAAAGATCCTTCAGACAAAGGTAAGTCTCCGTTGCAGGTTTTTAATGCCGGCGCGCCTTTTGAGAGATTATAGATGGACATTTTGGGTCCTTTTCCGTCGTCTTCTTCAGAAAATAAATACCTCCTTGTAATTGTGGATTGTTTTTCTAAGTGGGTAGAAGCTTTTCCTTTAAAGAATATTAGAGCGTCGACTGTGGCGGAGGGTTTTGTCAATCAAGTAGTTTCTAGATATGGGATGCCGTTGTAGTTACATACGGATCAAGGTAAAAATTTTGAATCTCGACTTTTTCAGGAATTGTCGTGGTTGTTAGGAATGAAGAAAACAAGGACTACTGCTCTTCATCCGCAGTCTGATGGGCAAGTTGAAAGACAACATCAGACGATAATGCAGTATTTATCTAAGTTTGTTGATGAGAATCAGAAGAATTGGGATCTTTGGATTCCTATGTTTCTTTTTGCTTACATATCTTCTAGGCATGAGGCTACAGGGGTTTCACCTGCCGAATTGAATTTCGGATGTGATTTGCGTCTGCCGTTAGATTTGTTACGGGGTTCTCCGCCAAATTACTGTTCAAGTTCTTCGGAAGATTATATTCGTGAGTTAGAGTCGAAACTAGAGGAGATCCATCAAAATGGTAGAGAGCGTTTAGAAATGAAATCAAACAAGGCAATGATGCGATACGATTTGAAAGCTAAGTATGTTCTTTTTGATGTTGGGCAAAAGGTTTGGTTCTTTAATCCTCGCAGAAACAAGGGGAAAGCTCCTTAATTGCAGAGAAATTGGGAGGGGCCTTACGTGGTCGTTAAGAAATTGAGTGATGTGGTATATTGTATTCGTCGCTCAGATAGGCATATAAGTAGAGTGGTGCATGCTGATAGGTTGGCTTCGTTTTGCGAAAGGAGGGAGCACGCGTCGGAGTCCCGTGTAGATTAATGGGGGGTGTAGTTTTGTTTTTGTATTTTGGGTATTTGTTTTTTTTTGTTAAGCGTAGTTACTCCTTTAGTTTTCTTTCTTTCAGGTATAACTCCGTTGCTACTCTGAATTTTTTCGTTTCGTCGTTGGACGTCGGGAGACATCTGCGTCGCGTCGAGTCGTTGCGAGATTTTCATCTTTGAGGCCGTATTAGAAGTCTGCCTTGCTCACGGTTTTGAACGCGGTTTTCCGTGAGTCTTTGGGTAAATGTCGAGGCGGGGACTTGGGGTGTCCTTGTGGACGATGGGTCCACGTGAGTTTCTCCCCCCTCTCTTGTCTGAAGTCGGAAGGATTTTGTGGACACAGAAGTTACCCCAGAAGGAAGTCTCGAGAAGAGTTTCCGGTCAACCGGCTCATTTATTCTGAGACAGCAGTCTGGAAGAGAGCGGGAAGGTTGGCTTCTTTTTGATCATCGGGACGATGATCTAGAAGAGAGAGGGGGCAGTGTTGCGAGATGCGGCGCGTGTCGTCCACGCGGTATACGAAGATTGTCGACGGTCGATCGCTTTTGTTCAGGTAGCAACGGGGTTTGTTGACAGCGAGGTTCAAGAGAGTGAGCCGCCGGATTCGGAATCGTCGAGAAGCTGGATCATTGGCTCGAGATTTCTTCACGTTTTCCGCGGCCTTTTGTAACGTGTTCTCTAATAAAACTCTAGTGTGTTATACGCGGTGTTCTCTTTTCTTTCCGCGGAGCGCAGTAACTCGGCGGTGACGCGATTAAACGCTGCCGTGAGCGCAACAATATATAACAATAAATACTATATACAATAATCTTATATAAGTGTGTTTAATGTGTATGAATGTATAAATTTTATATAGATAAATAGATACTTTTATTGGTTCGTTCTGGGTTACAATTTTTACAACGATCCTTAAAAACTACCTTACATCTATATATAATTTCATATATACATACTGTTACATAATATGTATCATAATATGTAACAGTATATATACGTATATATATATACAGGGTGTTTGATAAATACCGTCTCATCGCTTGTAAGTAGGTAGAAGGGGTTATTCTAAGACGAAAAGTCCTATACCACTTTGGAAAATTCGCAATAATTACCGAAATATTAATGAATAAAAATCCGCTACTCAGCGTACATTCAGAGTAAGGACAGCGTAAGGACAGCCCAGTCTTGGTGCTTGTTGCAAGCAACCGCCCCGCTTCCCTTCCGATCTCGCGTTTACTCTTCAAATTCCTGACGCGCTGTGTATACATGTTATTATATTAGCTCTTCCTATTCTGTCGCTACGGCACGTACGCACAAAAGACTGGGCTGTCCTTACGCTGTCCTTATTCTGGATGCACGCTGATTAACGGATCTTTATTCATTAATATTTCATTAATTATTGCGAATTTTCCAAAGTGGTACAGAGCTTTTTGTCTTAGAATAACCCGTGCTACTTACCTACGAGCAGTGAGACGGTATTTATCAAACACCCTGTATATATATTTACAATACAATTATATATAGATATAAGTTTGTTTAAGGTAGTATATGTAAGTTGATTGTGAGTTAATTTAGATGTGTGTGTGTGTGGGTAAAGTAGTTTTTAAGGATCGCTGTGAAAATTGTAACCCAGAACGGATCAATAAAAATATCTATTTATCTGTATAAAATTTATATACACATAAAACACTAGTATGTACTGTTACATATTATGTAATAGTATATATATATATAAAATTTATACATAATAAGTAATTTATAATAATAAGTAAGAGTATGTATATCGTACCAATTATTGAGATATTTTATTAAATGTTTTATAATAATTTACGGATCTAAATACGTATCGCACAACGTTCATGGACTTTTACATTTAACTGATGATGTTAAACAGTTTGGGACACTAAACAATTTTAGCGTTTTTCCGTTTGAAAACTTTATGAAAGAACTAAAGCTACGCAAATCGGAAAAGCTATTGGAACAGATAAGTAATCGTTATGGAGAAATGAGCTCGTGCAAAATACCATAGCAAAACGAGAAGAAACCACATTGGCGTCAAAAAACGGCATTATAACGGATCGTTAATATCAGGATGTTATAGTCCGCAATTTTTTGAAGACATTTTCTTAAATTATACGCTTACAATCAAATCTTTTGATAATTTTTGCTTAATAGATAAAGACATAGTTTGTTTGGAAAATATTGCAATAACAAGCAACGGTGAATATGTAGCAGTAGGTCGTAAATTTGAAATTATAAGTAAACTCTACAATACTCCATGTAGTTCCATAACTTTAAACGTATATAAAGTTAATCAGTTATCTTGTTTACAAATCTGGCTTCTGGACAAAATTGTCCTCAAATTTATGAAAATGCCATGTGCGGACAAACAATATTTCGCTGTAGTACCCCTTATAAGCACTATGAATAAATAGACTGACTATACATATACTTGTATGTCTTCTTATAATCTTTATTTTATTTTCCAAGCATCTAGAATGATCTCAACAATCCGTTCCATACTTAATAAAAACTAATGCTGCACCTTCTTGCTTCTAAATCCAAATGGCTGGTGCGTGTAAAGAGCAATTTGTAGAGGTAATTCTCTCTGTAGTGATTGACAGCATTAACTGTTTCTAAAAGCTACAAAATAACATATATAATATTATCAAAAAAGATAATTACAAGAAAAATAAAACAACATTACATGTTATTTACCCAAAAATTGTAGAAAAATGCATAAGAAAAGGTATTTAATCAAAAAATTAAGATAATGGTATTTGTCAAATATATTCTGTTAATATTTAGAGGAGAATTACATGTTTTTTTGTCACACAAACATTGTACCATATATACAATATAAATAAAACTTATATAAATGCATTATATAATGTTTTTGTAAACATAAATTCCGCACTTGGCAATTCAAATAAAGAATATGCGCTCACTACAATATCGTAAGTGAGCTAAAAGAGAAACAAAACTTTCAAATTATAAAAAAACCAAAATAATTTTAGTGTATATATAAAATATTTCATATTGCTCTTACATTTGCGGCGACAGGAAAATATTGGCAATACAAAATGTCTTTAATTTCGGGCGTGGCAACTTTTGCTAATCTTTCCGACATTTCAATAATTGATTCTGATACTTCGACACAAAGATATTCCTGTAGCGAGTCTGACCAAATTTCGGAAGCTTATCAAAATGTTTATTATTTTACTTCTTAAATATGCTAACCAAGTTTGCAGAAATATATGATAATTATATAGTAGATTAGTATTTTTGAAGTTTACATGATATTTTGACATTTACCACATGACTGTACGAAGACCAAAGCCAAAGTCAAATTGTCTTCTACTTGAATTCTTTACGTGTTCTGATCTCATCCAGAATCCTATATATACAGGGTGCGGCGCCAAAATCCGGACAAATTATATATGTTTTTCTAAATATGTTTTATTGCTACAATGAAAAGATTTACAAAATTTGTTTAGCTCCATTGTTTGTAAGGCCATAAATAATATATTCACTCAATAT